ATGTTTAGATTTCGATTTAAAATGAAATGGACAGGGTGCCATTACACCCCGCCCCACCGTGAATCCCGTAGGGATTCACCTTTAATTCGCAGGATGGCAAGCCTTGTTGCAGGGCGACGTAGTACTCCTCCAGCGGTCCTGACCTCGACGAGACGGATCTGCCCGTCCTTGGCTGGAAATACTTTGCTGACTCGGCCTTTCTTCCATTGGCTCCGCGGTTGGAGATCGTCGCAGACGAGAACCAAGTCGTCGATCTCAATCGCCTCAACTTTGTCGTGCCACTTGTGGCGCAAGAGTAATTGCGGCAAATAATGCCGTATCCACTGCTTCCAAATGCGGTCCTTCAGATTTTGCGCGATACGCCACTGTTTCCTGAGGCATATTTTTTGGTCAACTGGCTGTGGTGTTTGCGTTGAATTGGGACAACCAACCAGAAAATGGTTCGGAGTTATGGGATCGTCTTCCTCTGATGACAAAGGCACCTCAGTCAGCGGCCTCGAGTTCAATATATTTTCGGTTTCAATTAGTACGCTTAGCAGTGTGTCTTCTCTCGGTGCTTCTTCGCGCAGTGTTTTCTGTAGCAATCTCTTAACGACGCGGATGAGGCGCTCCCAACAACCTCCTGAACTCGGATGGGAAGGGCAATTAAACTTCCAGTCTATGTTCCGCCTGGTGACCTCATCGGATATTCGCTCAAAATCCAAAATTCGCTCTGACTCTTTCAGCTCTCGTTGGGCGCCAACAAAATTCGTCCCGTTGTCGCTTCGTATTCTAATCGGTGTGCCACGGCGGTTAATAAAATTTCGCAGGCATAGCAAAAACGCATCAGTCGACAAATCATTTGCGAGCTCCAAATGAGCCGCTCTTGTAGTAAGGCACGTGAAAATTACTGCCCATCGCTTCTCACGTCGACGACCTATTGTCACGTTAAATGGGCCAAACAGATCTACGCCCGTGTACGTGAACGGTCTGACATAAGGGGTGACGCGATCCTCCGGTAACTGACCCATCGGCGGCGGTGTCGGTTTAGCTCTGTCGATGCGGCACTTTACGCAAGTACGTTGTACAGTTTTTAACAATGATCTGGCGTGCGTAAACCAAAACTTTTGGCGGGCTTCGTACAACGTTACTGAGAAATTCTGGTGGTGTTGCTTTTCGTGGTACTGGCGCATTATGAGCTCGGAGACGATGTGTTTGGACGGCATCAAAATCGGTCTCCTTGTCTCTATGGGCAAAACCATGGCTTCGTCTAAGCGCCCTTGAATCCTCATAACACGATGGCTGTCAAGGTACGGCGTTAGCGTCCTAATACTGCTTTGTTTGTGAAGTTGTTCGCCCCTGCTTAGTGCTGCTACCTCTTCTTTGTAGACTTCATGCTGTACTGCTTTGACGATGTATTTCTCGGCTTTGTCAAGTTCAACTGCGGTTAATGCTGAACTTTGGCTGGCCTCATCGTCATTTTCGTAGTTACGCTGTAATTGTAGAAACTTGTCGGCAGCTCGCAGGACCCAGGCTGTCATCCGTTTCATCTTGAAGTATGAAGAAAAGCGGTTAAATTTTATCAAGCAATTATTTACCTCGTTTTGTATGTAAAGGCAAGGCTTGATTTCTTCCTCTAGCAGATCTGGCATATGTGTACAAGTTGTGGCTGGCCAACTGTCAACCGGAAATCGCAAAAACTCTGGACCACGCAACCATGGACTAGGCAGTTCGATCGTGGGTGGCCACGTCGGACGCGTAGCGACTTCCGTTGTATTTTTGTCGGTGGGTATCCAACGCCATTGTGGAGTTTTGGTTGATGACAATATCTCTGCGATGCGGTGACCAACGTACGGTTTAAATTTTCGCTCTTTCGAATTGACCCACTGTATCAGCGTTTGTGAGTCTGACCAGAAGAATATTTGGCTGGCTTGAATACTGTGGCCTTGGCAGACTAGATTCGCGAGTCGGACGCCTAAAACTGCGGCTTGCAGTTCAAGCCTCGGCACCGATAACAGATTCTGCGGTGCGCCTCTGGTTTTTCCTGCCGCAAAGGTGACATCACAACCTTCGGCGCTGGCGACACGAAAATAAGCAGCGGCGGCAAATGCTGCTTGACTGGCGTCTACTACTACGTGTAGTTGAATTGATATTGCAGCTTGAAGCTGAGGCGAATACCAACGCCTGACTTGCACATTACTAACGTGTCTGAGCTCACACCACCAGGCAAACCATTTGTGATGCAAACTATTCGGGATCACTTCGTCCCACTCGATGGAACTCTTCCACACCTCTTGAACTAATATTTTGGCAAACAGTAGAAAGTCGGCAAGTATGCCAAACGGATCGAACACTGACATGAGTATGCTGAGAAGTTCGCGCTTGGTTGGTGGACGAACTCCTTCTAATACGGCTTTAGAAACCCGGTGAAAATTGAGCTGAAACTCAAAGGAATCTGTCACCGTGTTCCAGCGCATTCCTAATACCTTCTCGTAGTTCGCACGGCTTTCTAAGTTCACAGACTGTGACGTTGTTGGCTCTTTATTCAGGCTATCTTGCAGCTGCTTGATGTTTGAGACAAATGATCGCAGTTGGAACCCCCCTTCCGAATGAATATACACGACCTCCCTGCAAATGCGTTCGGCGTCTCGCTCGTTCTTAAAACTAGCGACAAAATCGTCGACATAGTGACTTTCGACTATGGCTGTAACGGCTACAGGATACTGTTGACGAAAATCTTCGGCGTTTTTATTTTTCACAAATTCTGCTATGCACGGCGAGCATATGGCTCCGAAGACCATTGACTGCATTACGTAGTGTTCCACTGGACGATCACTGTTTCCATCACGCCATAGGAATCTTTGGGCATGTTGATCTCGCTCTTTTACAACAACTTGAGAAAACATCTCACGAATATCTGCTGCGACTGCAACAGCGCCTTCGCGAAACTTAAATAAAATGTTCAATAATGGCTTGGCGTGCTCAGGTCCCTTGAGCAAAGCGGAGTTCAATGCTACGCCATTGACTTGGGCGGCTGCATCGAACACGATCCTCATCTTCTCAGGCTTGTGCGGGTTATGAACTGCAAAATGCGGTAAATACCATTTAAAATCTGTTTTTATACATACTTCTTCATCGGACAGCTTTCTGGCATAACCATTGCGCAGATATTTAGTGATTTCCTCCTTATACTTGGCGGCAAAACTGGAATCGACTCTCATTTTACGTTCTATTCCTAACAGTCGCTTGTAGGCCATGTCGTAACTGTTAGGAAGTGCTGGTGGAATGCTTCTCCACAAAAGTGCGCTCTCAAAACGCTTAGCCACGTGGCAAGTGTTGTATTCCAGCATCTGGCGGGCCATCTGATCCTCCTCAGACTCAATCTGCTTGAGCGACTCACCTACTCCAAAGTTGTCGGCGGCAAAATATTCGGTGACAAGTTCGTTTAGTGTGGCTGGGCGCTTTCGCTCGCGAACATGTAGTACGACTGGTGTTTGTGGCGACAAACTGGTTGGGCCGTAAGCTATCCAACCAAGTTTGGTACAAATGGCTACTGGGCTTTGACTGTTGGCTTGTACAGTCGTAGACGGCACGCTTAACGACGTATTATCAAGGCCCAACAGCAACGACGGCTTGACTTGGCTGTAGTCCTCTATCGGCAAAAACTCAAAGTGGGCATAATCGGCTTTTGTAAACGACTGCGCTGGCAAATCAAGGCTACGTAGGGTGCATACGTTGCGCAAACTGTATGTTGATGGCGAACCTTTGCCTCTTATCTCAAGGCTGACTTTCGATGACTCCTCGGTTGTGCACTTCTGGCCATACCATTGAAGCGTTAGTGGCTGTCTCCTACCTTTGAGACCCAAGCGGCTTGCTACGTTATCTTCGATCAATGATATGGCAGAACCTTCGTCTACCATTGCGAAAACATCTGCTCGACCATTCGGTCCGAACAGTGAAACTGGAACGTATTTAAAAAACTGACCTTTTCTACACTCGGCGTCTCTGCAGTTGAGCACGGGTTGCGATTCGATTCGACTACGTGTAGCACTTGTATTTTGCATCGAGCTAGAACTTTCATGCAGGCTACGATGATGATACCGGCGGCAACCATCAACGTCACAAACTCTTCGTGAACGGCAATTCGATGTATTGTGCCCTTTATGTAAGCACGAAAAGCAAAGTTGAATGGCTTTCACCTTTTCCTAACGATTTCGTATGGTCATGTCTTTGTAGGCTTGGCAATTAGAGATAGAGTGAGCGCCTTCACACACGTAACACTTGATACCTTCAAGGCGTTCTGGTAGCTGCTCTTTTCGAACATGCATCATACGTCGTGGTGGCTGCTGTTGAGATGTAGGCTGATAGCTTCTCGTGGTTGCGGTTGGCGGCGGAATGAGACATACTACTCTTGCAAGATCGCTTAACCAGGTAGAAAATTCTTTTATTGTTGCGTATGGCTTGATACTGACTGCGTGGCGGGTCCACTCGTATTGCTTGCTGGGTGGCAATTTCGTGACTAGCTGCTCCAAAAGCGTCGTATTGGCAAGATGATGTTCGCACTTAGCTGATGTTAAAAACGCGACTATATTCCTCGTCTTTGTGGAGAACGATATAATTTGCTCCGCCTTATTCTCTCCAATATTTGGAAATTGCTGAATTTTGTTGAGTTGGCTTCTCACTAAAAGGTCTGGCCGACCAAAGTGAAATTCTAATTCGGCTATGGCGTTTGGAACATCTTCCGGAAATATTAGCATTGAAGCTACAGTCTCCTT